TACAACCATATACCTTTGAAAAGAAAGGCATATTTTTGTTTAAATTTTTTAATTAAAAAAAAAAACAAATTCCTTTATCTATTATCACAAATCCTACCACACCATTCTTTTTGTATACACATACTGTTGCCCTAACCAGACTTTTTCATTAACAATTTGCCAATTCTGAATGTGTGTTGCAGTATTATTCAATAAAACAAATTTGACTACTGCAAATCTTTAACCATAAAAGTTATCATGATTTCTCAGAAACTACAATTTGTTCACAATTATTTTTTTTCATAATATTATCCATTAATTGTTGTTGCTGGATGCAGAAATAACGTTTACATTTAATTCGTTTCAACAGATCGTTTTAGGACCTATTTTTCAAAATATTTTAGTCGCAATTTACGATGTAATTTACGATCCAATCCGGGGCACTTGCCTCAATTTAGACAAAGTTTAAAAGATTATTTTTCAATTTAGACCTCTAGTGGTTGCTTGTCTATAAAATTACGTAATTTTCAAGCTAATCAATGCAAAATGATGTCATGAAATTCGTCAATTTCCTCATATTCTGAAAAGATCAACAAAAACAGCCAATTATCGAAACTACTTTCCAATATTTATATAGAAGGCAACCTGTTATCTTAAATAAGCAACTAGTAAATAAAAGAACTGTTTTTAAGAATTACAAGACATGCTTTATCTTTTAGATCAGAGGATGCGCTCATATTAATTTTCTTCTCTGAAAGTACTCAAATATACCTGTTAAAATTCAAGAAGATTGCAATTCCATAAAGCCTGTGTTCTAAGACTTGAGGTTAAACTAGAAATTTTGTACAATAGGTTAATAGGAAATGAAAGTGCTACTAGTATGTCTCTACTTTTTCTCATCTACAAAATAGATCATAAAATGTTATTAGAAGTCAATAAATTGGTATATCTACAGGGCCGTTTTCTGCATAAATTGGACCGAGATCTTTGAAAAAAAAAACTCATGGAATAAGCCATCGTAGATTGATTGATAACAATTAAAATTCCTCAAAAGGAAAATGCAAAGGCAAAAATGCGAAGGTGAAATTGCGAGGTTCCAAAGTGGGAAGTGCGATAATAAATAGTAACGTGACTTTGCACCTTCGAATGTTTGCCCTCTCATCTTCGCGCTCCGCTGTCACATCTTCTCAATTTCACCTTTTAACACTTCTTTTGCAACATTGCTTTCACGTATCCTCGCTCTACAGATGTATGAGTTACTCCAACAATTCAATGCATGGCGTTACAAGGATCAATGGGTCCCCTGAAGGTGGCATATAAGATCAAAGTTATTTAACAGTTGCAGATAACACAGTAAGAACAAAGGCAAAAAGTAAACAACAATAAGACTTTAATACAAAATTCGACGACAAAACACATTTTATAATTAACATGAGCAAGCTGGTTAATGAGGAAGAATATTAAAAATTTTACCAAACAGTTCCAGTAATACATATAGTTTTTTGGGGGCATTGACATATATTTTTTAAACTCTTCAAGAATTAAAAAAATGGAATCAAAAACCTTGTTCATGTGGTACAAAATAGATGCTTATGTTTATCCTCTAGGAATTTATACGGTGTATATCTTCCTTTTCGGCTCGGTCCTTTTCAGCTTATATAAATCCTCTGGACTTTTGGTGTAAGCTTCCGTTTCTTGGCGTTCATCTAAAGTGTCCAGGTGCAAAAAGATTGTGTTTAAAATATTTTTTGAGGACAAACTTCAAGGAATGATGAACAGAATCTTAGGCATGTAAATAGAATACTTAAAATTCTGTAGTGCTCGACAACGTACGTTTAGTCGGCAGGACCCTTAGTAAGGTCAATAAGTTAATATTATCATCAGTTTCAATTCATTATTATATAAATATTGCACGTATTTGAGTGTAACATTGAAATTTTTCACCCCAGCCGAGGTTGACAATGGTTTTCGAGGGGTGAAAATTTTGTAATACCACTCGTCGTCAAGCAATGTTGACTGTTGCTACGCTGGAGGGCGTGGCATCATTATTCAGCGGGTAATAGTGTTTATTAGCAAATGTTTCTCGCCCAATCAGATTCAACTAATTTACATGAAAGTATATTATAATTACTTATTACACTCAATTATTTAACATTAATAACTCTTACAACACATTGACATGACAATGAAAGAACTTTTAACATGAATATTTTGTAAATTCAAGAACTCTTTTTTTAATTCAAAGGATAAGACTTTGTCATACAGGTTACTGAATATGAACTGAAAGATTGCTGAATTTTATACTTATTAGGTTTGCATCTGATTGTCTGCAAAAAATGTATCAGGTTGATCCACCTTCTAAATTGCGGGGCTATATTTACCGTGAACGATATTGACCTGCATTTTTAATGTTGAACAGCCAGTGGCTACATGTAACTTAATAAGTGATTAATTTTCTTTCGAATGACGTGGGATATATACATGTATAACCTCAAAATAGAACAGTAACAAAATTTACCTATTGGAGTGAATTAATTACAATTTTTCGCTGAAACAATAACGAAACTTATTTTCTGGTCAGGGTTGTTTCAGTACAATAGTATTTAATTAATTCCACACAGTGAATCTTACAAAAATTACCAGTCTTACCTTCTACCGCCAAGTAATCTGAAAAAAAAAATCTTTGAGGCACCTTCATTGACTGTTGAAAATAAGTACCTTTTTAGATTCTAATTTAAAATTTTGTCCTCTTTTGTTTCGACGCTGGCATCATATATAATGCAGTCACAAAAAATCATAATTCATTTTTTAAAAGTTACAAAATGTGTCAAAATTATGTGTTTCTTTTAAGATATCTACATCATAAAAGGAAAAATGTATGTGAAAATTATGAGTATAACAAACATATGACAACTACATGTTAACTGAAATGTAAAGCAAGAAAAGACTGCACAATATAAGTGCCGGAAAAACAAATGTTGTACAATGTATCTTCCACTTCTTTGTTTTCACGCATGCCAAGGCCAAACTACTTTTAAACTTTAGATTTAATTTGTATAGAACACTGTATAGGAGCATGCAAAGAGAGGAATATGTTTTGTTTACCTTTTTAGAAAATTGTATCAAAATTCTTGTTTATTTATATTCATTTTTTTTGTTCACGAGTCTCTGGCAATTTATCTGCGCAAACGTACAATAGGGGGAAGAAGAAAAGCAATGTTTTGGGTTTTTTTGGTTTATGGAGTTTTTTGTTTTTTGTTTTTGCTTTTTAGGGGCTATCACAAATTAATTTATCATATTTTTTCCCATAAAAGTAAAGTTTTTAGGTTCAGAAACCTGTTATTTTCTTAAATCGTATGCTTTCAGGAATTTAAAGAATTTGCACAGATCTTGCAAAAATTCTAAGTTGTCAATTTATCCGTTTGTGCGTCACGATGTCACTCTAACAGACCCCTTTTCTTATTCTTAAGTATATACATGTATATACGAGGGTTGTCCCGTAAAATCGTGGACAAGTTGTCTAGTTTAAAAAATAAACATCACTGCGTTCTGGAATTTTCACTTTTTTAGTACATATTTTAGTAATATACACAGCAAATTTCAGATAAATATATGCATAAATAAAAAAAATATGAGATTTTATGCCATGTATTGTATCACCTTACGGCGCATGGATTATAACGTCAAAGTGTCTAAAACAGCGCCACGTTTTATTTTTGCTGAAAATGAAGTTGGATGAGTCCGACTTAAATTTAGGAATTTCATTGATACACATTCTTTAGTCTCCATAAACAGCCGAAGAACCAATTGGCACCCTCATGCGATCTTCTGAAGATTTATTAGTAAGTTACGGACAATATTCTCACCATCATTCAACTAATAGAAAATCTCATATCGGCGGTCTACTGTGACAGCGTCTTTTGCTATTACATTAGGTGTTTGTCTGTATGTTTTGCACTCCCCAGGGACTCAATAAAAAAAACTTCGCTAAGAAAACTCCTATTTCATTTGTATACTTAAGGTATGGTGATATTTTTATAATCTTTTTTCTTCTATGGTCATTTCAAGTCTCTAAAGGTGTCATTACAACATCGAAATAAAACTGAACTGTTCTCCGGGCGCCGTAACGTCATAAAACGTCGCCTTTTTTCGTGTGTTATGTTTACCACTTTCCCATTTGAAATGCTCGAGAAACTGCCAAACATTAAGCAAATGCCTTAAAATTTATACAAAGACTACAAAATTGGTTGTGAAATTGAATTAGTATAATTTTAATCCAAATCTTATGTATTTAAAACTTTTATTTTGAATTCAAACGTTTGTATTCTTTAATAAAACCTTGGTGTTTTGACCGTGCGCCGTAGGACAATACCTCTTGCACATTCACGCATAATAAAATCTTTATTTTTGCCTTAATTTTATCAAAAAAATTATCATGCACTTAAATAAGATAAATAAACAGTTACTGAAAATTTCAGCTTAGTGCGCCCATTACTTTTCGAGAAAAATGTTTTGTCCACGATTTTACGGGACAACCCTCGTATATACAGAAAAAGGTTTCCGTAATAACTGATAAGTATTGCAATACAAACTCAACACGATGGCTGGTATATTGCAAGTTATTGAATTTTATTTCACCTGCCGTTCGTTGAAATATGGACTGCACTCACGTGTTGCATCTAAATCAGAAATTATGCGATCTCTTAATCTGATGATGAATGTGGGACTTTTGCCATACAGTGATCTTTTCCGATTATTCAAATATATCTAAGAAAATATTGTGAAATTGTTTTCAATATCCGTCCAAAATAAATTTTTGCCCTTTTAATATTGAAATGAAATATTCAAAATTGAAAGTAAGTATCGAACTTTTAATAATTTAAAGACATTGCCGAATACGAAACATATTCATTTAAACATTGTTTCATACATTTATTTTTCTTTAATACCGCGATGCAAAAATTTACTCTAAAAGCTTACTTTTTAAGACCATGAATCTGTTTGTTTACAAAAGAATTGTATTATTTTGTATCATCCGCATTATTCTCTTCCTTTTTAAAAGTGCGTGAAAAAGATTTAAGATTCAGAGGTAATCCGAAAGCTAGGTATATAAAAATGCCATGCCCACCATTAAAGAGCGTATGCAACATGGAAAATAATTGTAATTCAGTGAACTGAGCCAGAAAGCCAAAAAACCAGGCTACACCAACGAGGGTAGAAAGCCTGAAGTACGCACTTAATCTACTCTCTTCCTTTGACTTTCTAATATCGATCTTTACACAAATTCGAGATAATGTCACCAGAAACATGAAAGAATTGATAAAGATGCATAAACCAATTGGAATTGCAAAAGTAAAGAGGGTCATGTTTGGTTCATCAATGTAGCAGGTACGAGGAGAGTAGCCAAGACTCTTCCATTCACTTTGGACAGAGCTTACAATTAAATTGACAGCAACTATTGCCAAACATAGAACGGCATCAACCAGTAAGAAAAATAATACCCGCGAACCGTCTTTTTTCTGTGGAGCTGATAAAGTAGTAAAGGATTGAAAGATTTGGAAGGTAGATAAACTCATCCAACATATGACAGAGAGCCAGAGAAAATGAACCATCATGCCCATTCCAATGCAAATGGATTCATTCCAAAGAAAAAATTTTGAGAAAGTGTAGACTGTATTTGCCAAAACTGACAACACAGCTAATGTTATAATGTTGGCATCTGCGATTGATCTTTGGGATTTATTAAGAATGAAAGTGAGTATAGTTACCAAAGAAGCAATAGAAGAAAGGGAGAGACAGGCAAGTGAAAAATACTTCATTAGGCGTTCTTCTGAGGATTCCCCTTGACTGTTTGCTTGGCTCATAACTCTAAGATACTCGTCCAGGCATATTTCTACACTGCGTTTATCTTGGGACTCCTTGAAATGTTGTGAGGAAAAACAGACTTGATAGTCTACAAGACATACAGAAAAATTTGAAATATCTAATCTGACGTCTCTTGTTGTCAGCTTCACTTTAGGGCAGCGATACCAGTCGGCTACGACTACCGCCATATCATTTTTTAAACAATATGGCCGTCTGTAGTCATACTGAAGGACATTTAGTTCTGGTACACCCGGGTGTAATTTCAGTTTCTCCATATTCATTGGATTCAGATAGCAACGGCCATGAATTTGTGTAGCAAATAAGGAATTACCGTGAATATGAAATCGTTGCCCTACAACAGACAGTTTGACGTAAATCTCGCGCCCCAAAGATGGTATATTTATTGGCAATTTCTGTTCAGAAAATATATTCATCAGCTTCTGTATCATGAAGTCTACGTTATGATAATGGCCTACGGACAGTTCCAGCACTATAGCCAAAAAATCTGATTTAGAAGGAGCTAAAATTGAAATTCGGCAAAGATAATCATACAAATTTTCAACAATTATAACGTTTGCCATAGCTGATTCGATTTCACGTAAATTTTTGTCCCAGTTTATCATTTTGGAATCTTCTGGAAGAGTGACCATTAGATTTACCTCGTAGTTGCACTTCCCAAGCATCGTATAACGAAGTTGGCAGGTTGAGTTGCTGTAAACGTATTCTGCTTCACATCTGATATCCAGACACTTCGACTAAAGATAAAAAAGAAAAGTTTCAAAAGTTGTGAAATCTAAGTGTTGCACAGCAAGGGCCTTTAAGGTAAGCTATACATTTATGTTGCTTCAGACATACTCTACTTTAAATATGGCCTTCAAGACGCTTTGAGACATTTTAATGTAAACTTTGTTTCTTTTTATTTCGTCAGATTAAATTTGATAAGAAAATTATAAATCGGGAAAATGAATTTTTTTTTTCTTTCTACCCCTACCCATGTTTTTTATTGCTTTTTTCTAAGTATAATTACTTTGAATAAAAAACAAAGAAAGAGATTATTTAAGAGAGAAATTTTCTGCAACAATATCAGAATATTTTTCGAAATGTATTTTAAACAAAATAAAAATATTGGAAAAAAAAACCGTACCATTCTACTGTCAAAAATCTGATTTCTTGCGCATTTTACGTCTTTTGTGTGCTCTATATTCACTGTTCGTTTGAAATCCATCAGAGCTGAAAAAGTTGAAAGCATGTACGTGATAATACCTGATCCATCAAAGTCATTTTGAATTGTAAGATCAAAAACCAGTTCATCACACAAAGCACAATAAAGGTTTTTATAAACTTTGTCGGAATTCTTGTAAGGTAAGTAGTATTTCTGGCAAGCATCGATGAAAACAGACCGTGTTTCTTCCCAAAATTTGATCGTTCGGTTACAGGTAGAGTCAAGTCTAGGTGTGTATGTTATACAGGGATTGACAATCTTTTGAATGGAGCTAGGGGGACTAAAAGCAACGTTACAGACAGGAATATCATTTAAGAACACAGACTGGTAAAGTATTTCGAAATCGTCATTTGAAAACAGTGCTGATTGATACCGGCAAATCTTTTCCATCTCCCAAGGAACAATATCAGAAATAAATTCATCATTGCATAATGCGCACTGAGTGTTAAGATATGTGTCATTTGATGACAAAAACATTACTGGTCTAGCTACTGGTAATATTATGTGTTTGGGGTAACAAACATGTGGCACCATTAAGACATGTTTCAATCATCCAGTATGATTTACCCGGGGTGATTCCCGACTTTTTATTCCATAACGGTTCGATGCAAGACAAAGGCTGACCCTTTTGTTTGTCTTCTTCAATTGGCATGTATTCTATGAAGTCTGGAGTGGTTGCTTGTCTGTAGAATTTAGAAGGACAACATGTGGATTTTCTCACACACGAATCATCACATTCACAAGTTGCACATGATGGATTTAGGGTAAAAGAATAGTTCCGTTTAAATTTTTCCCCCAGACACATATCTTGTTCTGGACATAGCAAGAGGTAATACCAAAGCAAGATTTTTGCCTCTTTGTTTTCTATCCATGAGGTTAGATTATCGGTTTTATCGATGTCCTCAGGCGTAGGGTAAGGCGCATCCTCCAGAATTAAGAGACCACCCAAAACAGCACCAACTGTTGAAGTTATGAACAAAATGGAGATCTATAAACGAAACATAAAAATGTGAAAAATGTTATTCAAATGGTTCATCCTCGCTCGCGTGGTGCAGTGGTAAGAGGGTCTGCTCTAGAGTCGCTAAATAAGTAGTTGATCTTTAAGTCGCGGGTTTGAATCCCCCTGGGGAACGTAGAGACCTCTCTTTCGGGTGAGACCGAATAAACGAGGCTCTGTGTCGCAGTAGGTGATGGAACGAAAAAATGGTCACTGACCCTTATTGCCCGAGCATACGACAAATTTTTCACCTCTCCACTAGCAAGTATTGGCGACTTTATATGAGTGAAAAATCCTCTAGAGGGATGTCAAGCAACATACAAACAAACAAAACAAACCTCGGGAAAAAGCTTATCTTAATGCTGACAGCCTCAACGAGAAATTAATTTTCTGCCTCAATTAACAATCTGAAACAGATTTGTAGGCAAAAGTTCTTAAGGTAATTCTATTATTCTAATCTGAAGAATTTTGTTCAAGATATCCAATACCCAATCACGAAAAAATACTCTAAAATTAATTATTCAATTTGAAAAGTCTCAAAATTAAGCTTGAAAATGAAATCTTTTCGTGCACCGTTTTTTATTTTATGCATCTCAAAATGACTCAGGATTACGGAAGTTCATATGAAAAATATTTTTGAATTCGATTTAAAACGAATTGTCGAATTTGTTCTCACAAATTTAAGTCGTTATAACAATTCCTTGTAATTTGTTATAACGCATTTAATTTATTTTAGCAAATTTGTTGAATTCGTTATATCATACTTCCTCTTCTAAGAAAGAAATTATTCAAAGTCATATGTCAGTTTTGAATATTTTTAATATTCCACAGAGCCAAAATGAATTTTTACTATCTTATATATATTAGATTCTGAAACTTCATAAGAATCCTTATTAACAACGATGTGTTGCGCGTTCAAGTAAATGTTCAACCAAACCTTTTTCGTTACTCCTCACTAAGATATTGACAGTACTTAAGGAAAAACTTCAAAAATTCTGTTCAACTATATATTCAAGAAGTGGATTAAATCAGATGTGGACACTAAAAAATTCAGAAGAACTTTTGGACAATTTGAAATCACAAGATGTTACCAAAATTAACAGCTTAAAAACTCGTTTATTTACTTACATGGTCAGTGGTCATTTGCAAAATTATTTTGTTAAAAAGATTTTGATTGCACACACAAGTACTCTGAAGTTGACACCAAGAAGATGCTGGGGTTTCTGATTGACAATATGTATGTGGTTTTTGGATATCAGGTCTTCCAATAATCTATTGGAATTCCCATGAGCACCAATTACGCTCTGTAATGAGCAGACCTATTTTTGTATTCATATGAAGCAGAATTTATGCATAATCTTATGCGTGAAAAGAATAATGCACTCGCTGTGGCCTTCAACTCGACCTTCAGATATATCAACTACGTATTGTCAATTAGCAATGGCAATTTCCATTCCTACGTCGATACGATATATCCAGGATAGCTTGAGATAAAAGATACCACCGATTCTGACACATCATTTTCATACTTGGATATTTTACTTGAAAAGTACATTAATGGTAACCTAACAACCAAGTTATATGATAAACGTGACGTCTTTAATTTTTCTATTGTCATCTTTCCTTACTAATGCAGCAATATACCTTCATCGCCTGTATACGGAGTGTATATATCTCAGTTGATTCGATACGAAAGAGCATGCTCTACGTATAAACAAATTTTAAAACAAGGTAAATTATTGACAAACACGTTGATGAAACAAGAATATCAGTAGTCTCGTTTAAAATCATAATTTCGTAAGTTCTATGGTCGATACAATGACTTTGTCAACAAATACAATTTACCATTGAATCAAATGCTGACTGACGTTTTTCATCCCAATTTTTTGTCCATTATTTATACACTGAATTGACGACGTTATTTCACGATCATGACAATGCGCACACGGCGGGTGTAACCGGCCAGCAGGGGATTCTGACTCTTCCGTGACACCTGATCCCGCCTCTGATGTTTCGGAGGGTCGTGTTTGCTCTGCTCCTATTTTACATTGTTTTAATATGGACTTTGATATTGAATACTGTTCGTTGTCTCCATATCTCCATATTCTTCAATGGTATTTCACATTCTCAAATTAGTTCTTTTATATATATATCCTGATTTTCGAATTTGATTGAACTAAATAAATTCGTTATAACTAATTTATGCCTTAGTTTAAACGAATGTAATTTGTTATAACAAACTTTAGAATTTGTTAAATCGAATTTAATTTGTTATAACAAATTTTTGATTTCATTTTGATTATAATTCTTAATCAAATCGTAAATCAAATGGAATTCAGAGACATTTTTAAAGCATTTTTTATTATCCAACTCCAGATTTTCAGGACCTGAGGATCAAACTACCTTAATTCTTATTGAAACATTCTGAAATTGAACAAAATTATCTTGTGTGTTTTCAGTGTCTCAATTATGACACTTGAAAACCTTTGCATTGTTCATTTTATTGATAGAACTTCAGAAAGTGAATGCAATATCATGATGCTCAGGGGAAGGACCCAAAAACTATTGCACTGAGAATTAAAAAAATACAGGAAGAAACAAGACCTTTCAGTTAAAACTGAAAGGCGGCTTTCAGTAACTTTTCAGTGGCCATTCAGCCACGGAAGGGCACATGCATTTCAGTGACCTTTTAGTTGCCTTTCAGTCACATTTCAGATACCTTTCAGTCACCATTCAGCGGACACATCTCCGTCAACTTTCAGTGGCCTTTCCATCAACTTTCAGTGACCTTTCCATCAACTTTCAGTGACCTTTCCGTCGACTTTCAGTGACCCTTCTGTCGTCTTTCAGTGACCTTTCCGCCACCTTTCAGTGATATTTTAGTCTCAATTTAGCAATTTTTTCACTAGCATATTATTTTATAATCAGATATTTTTCCTTAACAAGGAAGCAGTATTTTGAATAAAGATTTATTATTCAATCTTAATTGTGTTTTCTTTACTTATCATGATCAAATTCGGGTACCTTAAAATATGTCTAAGTAATTATTATAATTTTAAAACAAGTGAGACTTATTCAAAATGATTTTTTATTTTCTAGTTACATTTAGAAAACAAAAAATCTTCAAGTGATAAAAAATGATGATCCGATAACCGATTCAAAATTTAAATAAATGCATAACATTCTATAGCGCTTATACGTGTTTTTTTTTTCATGGAAATATATAGTTTTGATTGATGAGACAGAATTTATATTATTTAAACCATTTCTGGAAGATCGCAAGTATTACTGATCAATTCCGTTTCTTAATTATGTCACTGTCAGAACTGCAGGATATTTAGTTTTTGAAAGACATTATTTTAAATTCATTTTTTAATTACAAGAATAAATAAATCGTTTATACTTGTCTCTTGTAGAAAAAAAGATATAGTAGATTTTAGCTTTCTAAATGATATTGATTTAATAAAATCATTCTACTAAGTTTCTAGATAGAGAATATACAACGATCTTAAATCTTTGACACAGGAACAGTGCCCGTCTCTGATAATTGTCATCATCCCGATAGAAGATGTGTAATTAATTGGTCTGTTCCCAAAATCCGCGCAACTAACAAAAGATATACAAAAAATATACAAGATATTTCCACATCGCAGCTCCTCGATACAACAGGTGAACTGATTGTTCCATCGATTTCTATAAATTAATTGATTTTAAATCCTCATTTCTTAACAAGAAGCCGTAGCGTAATCCATAAGGTCGCGTACACCTAAGCAGGAGATCAGGGTTCGATTCTGGATTTAATTACATTTAATGCTATTATACCGGGAAAAAGTGAAATAAAATTTTTAGGTAAAAAAATAAGCCGATTATTAAATAAAAATATTCAACTGAATGATCACGGAAAGTTCACTGAATTGTATGTGCCATTCAGTCGACTGAATGGTAACTGAATGATCACGGAAAGGTCACGGGAAAGGGTCTTTTCAATGACCTTTCAGTGACCATTCAGAGGCCATTAAGTTACCATTTAGTCGACTGAATGATGGATTTTCATACTGTGAAAAGAAATGTTTTAATACAGCAAGCATTGATAAAAGGTACATAACCTGACATTTCAAACAAAGGTACGATAAATATGTTTGTTTGTTGTTTAACGTCATTCTCGAGAATTTTTTTACTCACTTTGAGACGCCAACAGTTGTCGGTGGAGAGCTACAAATTTTGATCATTATCGGCACTCAGAGCCATTTAGTAGTGATAGATCTTCTTTATCTCGAGCGTCATCAGACTTCGGTTAATACGATCTCATCTGAGAATCAGAATCTACGTCCAACAGTAAGGTTCGAACCCGTGATGTGAGGATAAACTCCTTACTTCGCGTCTCTAGCGCAGACGATTCTAACACTGCGTCGCGCAAGGGATCTACGATCATCATACAATGTATGCATATTTCTTCTTAGTTATATATCATTGTAACATTATTGATCAGTGGCTCTTCACCTACTACAGAGGTATTCATATAATCCACGACAAAAAA